TTCACAGAAGTTCACGGTGGATGTTTGCAGATTGATTTGTTTACGCATGAGCACACTTTTTTGAATTTTGCGTCCTGATCCTAATGAGTTTTCTACTCTATGCTATTCACGCAGGGAAACAAGATTACTGTTGATTATTTAGCTGGTGTCTCAGTTGGGGGCGGAGTTATAGCGAAAGGGTGGAACTTGGCACCTAACTCCTCCATTTCTTTGACATTTTTCAGTGAAAAGAATATCGTGTATTCTCAAAATCACGTCTGAGCTTTATACTTCAGGAAGTCCGCGACCGATCAAGGATTTCCTCACGCTGTTCCATCCAGCTACACGAGTGACGGTGAGTTGATCCATGGACTTTCCTTTTCTAACAATAAGTAGTATCCCTCTATAAATGGCATGAACATTTTCTGAGAAGGTCATGCACTTTAATATTCAGTAACATTCGTAATATTCAGTAACATTCGCTATACATGCCGATGCGGCTCGGCCAGAATTTATTGGCTCATGTCCAATAGTGGTATCCGCTCAGAATTTTGGAATCTTGTTTACTTGACAGCGATTCCCGATAATTGGGTGCCCCCGCAATCCTCACAATTCAACGACGTGCGCCCATCGCAAAAACAACAAAGTAAACAAAGTCGTTCCATTTTGGTAGAGTATGGGTCAGGAGGCACCACTGGTCGCCTATTTAAAATTCGGCCATCATGCGCGGCAAGGGGGTACACATCACAGCAGAACCATCCTTGTCTTAACAACAGCTCTGGCATTCTGCTCATAAAATATGACACAGTAATCGCCTGCCTAGAAACTTACTTACTTCTTAAACTGCTATAGAACAAAAAAGGCCGCTCCACCATTTCTTCAGGCCTGCTTGGAGGTGAGGACTCTGTTGAAAGACACCAGAGGACAGTATTTTGTCACCTAGCAACCCACGGTGAACTAGTGGTGCCACCTATCCCAAAATTAATTTTGCGAAAAATGCGACAGAGGAAATCCTGTATCTGGAAGTGTGGTCATTGGTCCGAGGAAAGTTACCGTTAGAGAGTTACCGTCGTACTTGATGTTACAGCTAGGGAAAATGATGAGAAAAATGGGAGAATTTGTAGTACAAATTGTAGTTTCTTGTTCATCACACTCCTTTTGTCGGAACAGCACTGACAATAATCTTTTCTGAATCTTTTCTTCGAAGGAATCATAATTGATATGCATTGTAAAATATATTCACAAACCAGAGTATCCACTCAGAGAAATCTGGGTTCAGAACGTAGTGGCGACAAACTCGGGAGCGGGAATGGGAAGAAGATTATTCTAACGCTACTTCCGCGTATAATGCCACATGGTGTTAAAGTTAAACGTAACGAAACAAACAACCACACATCATTCACGTTGAAACCTACTTTTAATGCATTGCTGAATAAAAAAGCGCACATCTAGCTCATTGATCAGCTATTTATGCTGCACCGCAACCGCGCGCGCTCGTTGTCAGAAGTTCACCCGTTCCACTACTGCGATTTCTTGATAAATTCGAGATGCATTTTTATTATTTTCTTGTGCAATCTAAACAAGTAGAAAAGGGCCAAACTTCCCATTCTGAAGGTTTTCAGCGATTCATCAAAAAAAAAACTTATTTTCTTCAGCAAATTCCCATCGTCCATTTCGAGAAGATGAGTCGCATCGGCGCATGACTACAACTCATGCGACGACCGTTGCTGAAGTTCAATCGGTGCCACCAGTGGCTTCGGGGACAACACATCGAGGAAAGAAAAACAAATTACACCGGTAACTGTTTGAGTTCTCACTGCTTGAATGTGTCGTACCTCTAGAAAGAAGCGATTCGAAATCAGTCAATGAATTGGTCCTCGGCCCAAACTTTTTTGAAAAGTTCCAAGTGTACAGTAATATCTTGGTCCTTATTACCTGTTTTACTATTGCGTTGTCACAAAAATAATTGCGTTTTCGCCTCTATTCGAACAAATTTTTATTAACCAAAGCAAGCGTAGTTGGATCAGCACATAACTGCCAACGTTTGGGTGATAAGTAACTGTATGACGATCCACGCTTGGGTTACGGGAATAATTAAGTCGAGGAGAGGCTTTTTCGATTTTCTCAATATTCTGGTAAACGTCTTGACATAGGTGTGCATCAAGGACCGGGAAAAAATGGTTGTCAGGGGGAAAAAAGTTGGGCGCATAGGATGGATAGCGAAAGCACCCCTATATCCTCTGAATTTAGCTCCGTCAGTTTTTGCAGAGTGGTTCCTGAAGTGTGAGGTCCTACGTTGTGTTGGAGCAGTGAAGGTCCCCTTCTTATGAATCTGCTGGGCAAAATTTTCCTAACTTTTGGTGCAGTACTTACGGCGGAATACCATTTTGTTAAGTTAGTTTGTAGTGGTTCTAGGAAGCTGAGTTGGGTAGCACCGTAGTGGGGCCACCAGACACACAAAATTTGTGTGAATGTTCAACTCGGGAAGGTTCCCGGACAGAAATGCTTATCCACCCAGGCACATCCACGTCTTAATTATACCGTCAAGAAAAATCCCATTTCTTCGGCATAGAAGCAGGTTACAGCAGCTAACATCACGTGACCGTTCCCATCTCACTATATCCCATGGGAAGATACTACCCTATTCAGCGATTGTTTGCCCCCTCCGTATCCCTTCACCCCATAGTTGCCTACTGATCACGAGGTCCAGAAAGCTCATACTTGTAAGGAGGAGCCCTTTCATGGCAGTATTCGTGGTCCGTAAGAAAAGGTCAAGGTTTTTTCCTTCGGTATAGTTCTAGATAGACCGGACGTTACCAATTTAGAAAATTCTTTCGTGAGCTTCGGGTTCTGCTATTTCAACCTCCCCACACTCCAACTTCCTAGTCAGATTCCCAATTTTCCGGATCACGGAAAATCAGTTGACTCGATATCTAAACTTAAACTTTTAAGCTGTGAGGAACTAACTTTTCGAGCTTTCGCTCTCCTCCTACCCGTCATTCTTCATTTCCCCACACCCGTGATTTCCTTGCATGCCTTTCATTATCTGGTGAAGTTTTTGCTTCAAAGATGTGGGATTAGCCGTCCACATCGCTTTGTTGGTTTGTGAAAAGCGAAAAAGGCCCTTGATGAGCTTTGGCAATAGACATTAGCGGTCTATATTAGCATCTCGAGTGAACGTAGGTAGTTTTTGTAACCAGGAAGATGCCTATGCCCTTTACTTGTCGAAGTAACCTTCGGGAGGGGGCCCACAATTATCGAAGTAACCTCCGTAAGGGGGTCCACATTCTCGAAAACGTTCAATAGCTCTGTTATACAATATTTATTTTTTATCTTTTCCAGCCAAATCCATTCAATGTCATCATCTGAAGACGAACTGCCATCCACCTCAGCAGGATTTGGTGAAGAAGAAGTACAACGTGTACCAAATGAATGCACATCTGAAAAGGGTTTGTGTATGTTTCAGTCCCCGTTTTTAGGTAGTATTTGTTTTTATTGATTTCACAGTACTAGTATCTTTTGCAGATCTCCTTCGGTATATTTATGGTTCCGAAAAAGTGAAGAATGGCCGTAAATGTGAGTTTTTTTAACATACCCATGTTTTCCACTACTTTTC